ACTGTCAAAACTAAAAAAGGATTTATTTAAAGGTAACGTTCTACGTCCGGCAAAGCCTGGGCAAAGCCAACTCTGAGATACGTAATTCACTGTCACCCTTGATCCTGCTTCCCTCTCTGGGTGTATCAACCAATGAAACACGTCCATAGCCAAGAGTCATCAATCATGCTCTTCAATTAGATTTTTGAGTGGCAGAAGCTTCAGTCATCTAATCAGTCTCTGAAGAAAAACTTATGGTTGTAAGTCGTGGACTACTGGGACCTAAAATTAAACTGAAATACCATTATACTGATTCCTTAATTTTAGTATGAAGTTCTAAGTCATTTTAAAATAAACCCATTGGTGTCACTTTAAGACACCTGCAACTACATAAATCCATGAAAGAGACAGATTTTCCATCCTTGGATGAATCTCTCTCTTCCCCCCCCATCCCGCTGTAGCCCAATCACCCAATCCTAAATTGTATTAACAGAGGGATACAATCAAGATCAAGGGATGTACTAATACCACTCTATAAAGCCTTAGTAAGGTCACACCTAGAGTACTGCATCCAGTTTTGGTCACCACATTATTAAAAAGATGTTGAGATTCTAGAAAAAGTGCAGAGAAGAGCAATCAGGATGATTAGGGGACTGGAGACTAAGGCATATGAAGAACGGTTACAGGAACTGGGCTTGGCTAGTCTAGTGAAGAGAAGGACCAGGGGAGACAGGATAGCAGTCTTTCAATATTTGAGGGGTGCCACAGAAAGGAAGGGGTCAAGCTATTTTCCAAGACACCTGAAGGCCAGACAAGGAATAATGGATGGAAACTGAACAAGGAGAGATTTGACCTGGAAACAAGGAGAAACTTTCTGACAGTGAGAACAATCAACCCATGGAACAGAAGTTGCCCTTGGAAGTTGTGGGAGCGCCATCACTTGAGACCTTCAAGAAGAGATTGGACTGCCATTTGTCAGAAATGGTGTAGCATCTCCTTCTTGGGCAGGAGGTTGGACTAGATGACCTACAAGGTCCCTTCCAACTCTGATTATCTGTTATCTGGTTCTGACCTGGCTCCCAAGCAGGATAAACCCTCTGTAGTTAAATCAATGATTCCTTTATTAGGAGCTGGAAGGGCCAATGGCTGATAGGCCACAACAGGTAGACAAGTGGTGGCGAACCTATGGCACGAGTGCCACAGGTGGCACGCAAAGCCCTCTCTGTGGGCATTTGCACGGTCACCCTAGCTCAGCTCTGCCACGCATGTGCCTCCCACCGGTCAGCTGGTCTTTGGGCCTCTGCCACACATGCACAGGGGGAGGGGACACATGTGCCTTGCATTTTGAATATGTGTACGCATGCATGCACATGCACACTTGCATGTGCATACTTTCGGCACGGTGCCAAAAAGGTTCGCCATCACTGAGATAGACCATTGCAAAGTATATCCAACTCTTAAAATCATGCTCTCTGAGCTTCTTCAGCTCTGGATGAGAAGCAAAAACTCTTCAAAGAAAAACCAGAAAGTCCAGTTGCCTCTTGAAAAAGCACCTCTGGGACACCTCCCAAAAAGAACTTGGAGATGTTTGCGTTCCAAACAAAAATAAAAATAAAAAGGGGAAAAGGTTCTGTGTTAGGAGAAACAATAGTCTTCATCTTCTCCAGGGGTTCAAGACAGACTGTTGGAATCTGATTTGGAGGGGGAGGTCGAGCAGCTGACAGGGAGTGGGAGTGTGGCTCCAGTGGCTGTGGAAGAAACTGGGGAAGGACACAGGCTGGCTGGACATTCAGAGGAATACTCAGGCCCACCCACTCTTCGTCCTAGGGCACGCAGGAATGGAGAATGGAGAATGGAGCAACGTGGGCTACAGGGGAGAAAAGGGCTCTGATTCCCTGCATTAGCTGCAGCTGGGAAAACAGGATTTTAAAAAGGTGTTTGTGCACAGCACCTTTCTGGAAACAAAGTGTGAATTATCTTTGTTTGTCATGTCTTATCTGGGTTCTGGCGTCCTCCCAACTGTGTATGTTTTGTTATCTTTTGAAGTCTGCAATTCCTTATCCTGCCTTGTCTCATTAATTGCTGCAGTGTGGTTTGTGTTGGTTTTTATTTATAATTCATGTGTACTTTGAGTTCGGAGGGAATTTCTTCCCTTTAAAAACTCTTGTTGGGAGAGTTTTTTCTCCAGTCGAAGATAACTGGACTTTGGGGACCAAGTTGGAGGTATTAAAGGGACTTTACCTACTTTTGTGACTTTGTTGCTTTTGTGCCATGCCCCAGATCACCACAGGGGCCTAGAGCTTTGTCACTTTCCAGAATATGATGAGGAAAATTGACTTAACATTTCTTCTGCTCATCATCTCTATTTCACTAAGGAGTCCTGCCAAGCCACTGAATCTCCCTTGGTCCTTCTCTTTTTGGAGAAATCTTGGTCAAATTGTGACCACATCTGGTCCCCAGACACATTGCTAAACTTAGCACACATTCAGACACACATCTGGTTAAGAGTTCCTATAACGTTGACAATAGAGCATAATTTTGGCAAATTTCTTTCATAGCAGTAATGGCGAATATCTTAAAGTTTCACGACTCTCCCTTGACACAGTTTCTCCATTTAAGGATTATTGCCTTCCCGCAGACATAAAAAAAAACACGCAAGAAACTAAATATTCAAATAGTGGTGGTTGTGGTGAGGAGAAATAGCCCCAGACAAGAAACACATACTAAAGAAAAGTATTAAATAAACGACTACATTTCTTTAGGAGTATTTGGTTTCTTCAATGTAAGGAGGAATAGAACTCGTTCAATAGAAATATTTGGCCTGAAAGAAAGAAATGAATGCTCAGTTACAGTTAAAATTACAATTACAACATGTTTGGAGGAAAAATAGTCTTTGTTCTGTAACTCAGAGGTCTCCAAACTTCGCAACTTTTAAGACTTGAGGACTTTATGCTGGCTGGGGAATTCTGGGAGTTACTGAATTACTGAATAACAGAATTGGAAGGGACCTTGGAGGTCTTCTAGTCCAAACCCCCCTCTCAAGCAGGAAACCCTACACAATTTCAGACAAATGGTTGTCCAATCTCTTCTTAAAAGCTTCCAGTTTTGGAGCACCCACAACTTCTGAAGGCGAAGTTCACAAGTCTTAAAAGTTGCCAAATTTGGAACCCCTTGAGTCACAGAAAGAAGTATCCTGTCTTCCAAAGCCTATAGCTCAGTGGTATCAATCTTAACCCACCTGCTAATGGAAATCTGGAACCCTGAAGAAGAGCAAAAGCTCCACATGCCTAGAGATGAATAAAGGAGGTTAGAATAACAGGCTTCTAGAAATTCCCTAGTGTTTGGGGACTTGGCCTGGTCTAGGATGGTCACAATTTCCCAGTTGAAGCTATGATTAAAAGGTAAAGGTTCCCCTCACACATATGTGCTAGTCGTTTCCGGTTCTAGGGGGCAGTGCTCATCTCCATTACAAAGCCGAAGAGCCAGCGCTGTCCGAAGACATCTCCCTGGTCATGTGGCTGGCATGACTAAATGCCGAAGGTGCACGGAACGCTGTTCCCTTCCCACCAAAATGGTCCCTATTTTTCTACTTGCATTTTTTATGTGCTTTCGAACTGCTAGGTTGCCAGAAGCTGGGACAAGTAATGGGAGCTCACTCCGTTAGGCGGCCCTAGGGATTCAAACCGCCGAACTGCCGACCTTTCTGATTGACAAGCTCAGCTTCTTAGCCACTAAGATTGTCCATATGTTGTGAAACTAAAGAGTTTTCACCATGTCTTCTGGCATTCATGGATGAGTTTTGCTGGCTTTCTGGCTGTTTGTCCTACATAGTGGCTGTTGCAATCACTTTGCTGTATGTCGTAGATGACTCCTGTTTTTCCTTCTGGGGCTGTTGGGTCTTTTGGTTTACTTCTGATAAGCCATCAGCAGACACAGAGACATAAACAATACCCATATGCTGTGCAAAAGTGACAATAAGCAAACCAGAAAGAGAACGAAAATTAACCAAACACTTCCCCACCAGCAATCAGCACCCAGATGAGTATCGAATTAGTTCAAGATTAACATCAGACACCAACTAGCAGGCAGAAGACATGATGACAACTCTTTAATTTCACAACATGTGGACAGACTTAACTTCAACATAGTTGCAATTGGGAAACTGTGACCATCCTAGACCAAGCCAAGTCCAAAACGGTAGAGAATTTATAGAAACCTGTTACTCTAGGCTCCTTTATCCATCTCTAGGCACGCGGAACAGCCTTTCCTTTCCTTCAGGGTTCTAGATTTCCACCAGCAGGTGGATATGATTGAACATATCTATTCTTTCTTTCTTTCTTTCTTTCTTTCTTTCTTTCTTTCTTTAAATTTATTTCCTGCCCATTATCGTATCAAACATCTTTAGGTGGTCCTTTCTTTTCATTAGGTGGCCAAAGTATTTGAGCTTCAGCTTCAGGGCCTGTCCTTCCAAAGGACAGTCAGGGTTGATTTCCTTTAGGATTGAGTGATTGAATCTCCTTGCAGTCCAAGAGACTCTCAAGAGTTTTCTCCAACACCACAATTTGAAAACAAATTTGCATCCTACATTTGCCCTATTCTTGAAAATGTCAACTTTGATCATTAGAGTTTCCAATAAAGGAGAATATTTGTAGATATATAGATGATAGATAGATAGATAGAAAGATAGGAGAGAGAGAGAGATGATTTATAGATGATTGATAGATGATAGACGTGTGTGTATGTGTGTGAGAGAAATATAGAGATGATAGAGATAGATGATAGATAGGTAGATAGATAGATCAGATAGTCCTTAATTATCAGATGTTAATGAGTTGCTACTTAAAAATCTTATCACTAATTGAACTGGATGATCTTGCTAAACAGCTGGCTATTTCCAGGTTTGAAATTCAGATCCCTAAAGTGATTTCTGCATACTCCAAGAGACACAAACCATTTTATGGATAGCATTCTGGTTTGATAGCTTTCAGTACAATATATGCTGTTTCCCCCCCATATTTTAGGATAAGAGTCAAGGATTAAGTTTTGTCCGAATACACGCACCATGGAATGTCCTAAGCCGAGAAGCCGAGATTCTGAAAATCAAGATGCCCACTAAAAGAGTAAGTATGGGTCAATTCTCTTTTTATCACCTTTGAAGGTTAGAAACAGAGGGAAATAGCAGGTAGGCCACAGGGTATGGTCACAAAAGACAATTGGAAGCCATAACAGTGTGAACTAAACTCTACTCTGTGATGACATCCCCCAGAGGCTTCCCCAGATACTTCTCCAGCTGTCAGCTCGGAAGAGGATGAACCAGTTCCCGGCACATCTGGAAGGGAGTTGGCCAATAGCTCCAAGCAGCTGTCTGAGAGGGATTTGACTGAAGCACAGCTGCAGCAGGACAGCCCTGAGGCTTTAGGTGGAGAAGGCATGCAGCTGCAGCAGGTCAATGATGAGGAAGAGAAACTGCCTTCTGCAACTGATCCAAGAACATGTAGGGCAGAGGAAAGGCAGGCGCAGAGAAGGTCATCCAGATCACTCGTGAGGAGGCAGCCTCACCCCTTTTGATGGGTTGCACTGGAAGCCTTGCTATTTAGTACAGTAGACACACAGAGACGATGCTGGGAACAATGTGTTGGCTCCTTGCTGTGAGTTCTCATTTTGAACTTCGTTCGGATCATGTCTCTTACCTTGGCCTGTGGATTTGCCTTAGCCTTGGGAACTGGCTTTGGCCTAGTGGACTGGACTCTCCTTTGCCTTGAGGCCTTGCATTGGCTTCATTTGAGTAGCCTGTGGAACTCATTGGGGTTGAGCTAGTCCCAGTGCAGAGAATTGCTGGGGAATACCAATTCAGGCTCAGATTTTAGCAATGGGTTCTCTGCCCGGTTGCTGGGTGGGCGTGGCCATGGTGGGCATAGCCTAGTCGGCCTCCTGCACCAGGCAGGGAGGGGGGTTGCCCTCCCTGGGCTAAAGAGGCTTTCCTTGAGCCTGTGGGAGGGCAAAAATAGTGTTGTTTTGAGGGTAGGAGTTGAAACAGTTTATGTCCAGGATGTGAATAAATGTAATATAATCATAATATATTACATAAACTGTAATAAATCATAAATAAATATATGAATAAATGAATTTAGTAATTTTTGGAAGTTCTGTCCCTGTGATTTGCACTGTTTTTGTTTCTCTAGACTTATGAAATCAAAGAAGAAGGAGGAATTGTCAAGAAGCTATCATCGATATGGCAGAAATGTACAGAACCTTTGCAGCCTAAAGTGCCAGAGGAAACTACCACTAGGATGAAGAATTTATCTTATCCCTTTTCCAGAGAAAAAATATATTTGTGAGTATTTGACAGATTACTTCTGCAGAAATTGGATAGATACCAATCGAGCACAGCATCGAGAAATGTTTTTCAAACTTGGCAACTTTAAGATGTGTGGACTTCAACTCCCAGAATTCCTCAGCCCTTCTATAGTCTATATAATATAAAATTGCCAAGTCTGAAAAATACCGATATACTTTAGAGGGTTGCTTGGGTGTCACAGAGGCAAAATGCCAATCATTTGATCAATTAAAGAATATGAAATAAGTTTAGCATCCTTTTCTAAACCATACAAAAAGAGAGAAGAACTTTTTCCTCCTTTTTTGCTCTTTGGGACCTACTTAGGTTCCTGGGAAGAGAATTTGTTGTTTTAAAAAAATAATACTTTTTAATTGAAGTTTAAAAATCCAAATGCAAAAAAATGAGACAAATTAAGAAGATAATTTTTTTAAAAAATGAAAAGTGCAGTGAGAAGAAGGAAAAAGGAGGAAGGAAAAAGGGGAAAATGTAAAAAACAATTTTTTTTAGAAAACATATACAGGCAGTCCACAATTGAGCCCAAAATTTATGTTGCTAAATAAGACATTTGTTAAGTGAGTTTTGCCCCATTTTATGACTTTTCTTGCCACAGTTGTTAAGTCAGTCACTGCAGTTGTTAAGTGAGTAACATGGTTGTTAAGTGAATCTGGCTTCCCTGTTGACTTGGCTTGTCACAAGGTCGCAAAAGGGGATCATATGACCCCGGGACAATGCAACCGTCATAAAGTCAGCTGCCAAGCTGCAAAGTCAGCTGCCATGAGTCAGCTGCCAAGTGTCTGCATTTTGATCACGTGACCATAGAGATGCTGTAACGGTCATAAATGTGAAAATCTGTGATAAGTTAGTTTTTTCAGTGCCACTGTAACTTTGGTTACTAAATGAACTGTTGTAAGTCAAGGACTATCTGTAGAAAGAAATTACTTCCCCTTTCATCAAGACAAGTGTATTTACAATAACTTAATGCCTTCTCTATTATTTCAATCAAAAATCTCTTTAGCCCATATCTCATCTTATATCTATTAGCAAATAGTAAAGCCTGACAATTCAATCTTATTCAGCAAAAGTTCATTTAACTTACCAGAAATAATAATTTAGGTGTGTATCGGGGTGGAATTCTACCGGTTCAGACCGGTTCTATAGAACCGGTTGTTATGATTCTGCGCAATTCAGAGAACCGGCAAATTGCGCCCCTGGCTGGCCCCGCCCCTCTCTGCCTGCCCCACCCCACCCCGCCCAGTCAGTCCTTATCGCTCGCGCTAACTGCATTCTTCCCTGCCCAGTCAGTCCTTAAGGTATTTCTTTTTTTCCCCTCCCAACGATCAGCTGTTCTTACGATCAGCTGTACCAGGATTGCCCTCTCTGTCTTACTGCTTCGCCCAGGAGGCTTCCCTGAGGCCCAGGTGGCAAAAAATTGAGGGGGTGGGGGCAGCTCCCCACCCCCCACTCCATTTTTTTTGCCTTCCTTGGCCCCAGGGAAGCCTTCTGGGAGCACAAACGCCCCCCCCCCCGGAGGTTTCCCTGAGGCCCAGAAGGCCCAAAATGGGGGAGGGTGGCCTCAAAAAAAGGAACAAGAAGCCACACCACCCACTCACATGGCCACACCTACTTAGCCATGCCCTCCTAGCCATGCCCACAGAACCGGTTGTTAAAAAATTTGAATCCTACCCCTGGTATCTATGTATAAAACAAATAAAACTGTTTCAAATTTCCACACAGTACCTTGTCATTTTCTCTAGAGACACAGAGGAAGGGGAAAAAAACCCTCTTCTCATGTTTTATATCTATAAATAAATCTTTTAAACTCCCATTATTAAAACTTAATCAAGGAAAATTCCATTAGGGGCTCCCAAAAATAACAACATATTAAAATGTGTAATCTTTAATCCCTTCAAATGATGTCTCACCAATTAATTTCATCTCTTCATCCTTCTCAATTTTAATATCACAGTACATGATTTTCTCTAAAAACGCAAGAAAAACCCCTTTTCCCATATTTTATCTATAATCAAATCTTTAAAGCCTTATCGTTCAGACAACCCATTAAAAGTTCAAAGGAATAAAAAAATAAGAATCCAATCCATTTTAACCTTAGCTGAATAAGCCACTTTTGGGGCTTGAAGTAAATCAGGTTTATTGTTTTGTAATATTAGAACCTGTTTCTTCGGAATAAAAATTATCCTAATGCTGTTCTATAGGGTATTACGCAACCATTTATAATATCACAGAACTAAAATTTTTTCTGTTCTTTTCACGTTTCAAGGTACAACATTCAAGATAAAGATACTTTTTTTGACAACGGCACCCGCAGTCGAATTGTAAGTAAACCCACGAGAAAGTTATTGTTGAATTATGGCTTAGAATGTTTTCCATCACTTTATCTGCAGATAAGAGAAACAAAGAGATTCATATTTCAAAATGCTATTTCAAGTGTAGAGGCTCAGAATTTCAGTTAATAGCAATAGCAATAGTACTCAGACTTATATAGCAATAGCAATAGCACTTAGATTTATATACTGCCTCACAGTGCTTTTACAGCCCTCTCTAAGCGGTTTACAGGGTCAGCACATTGCCCCCAACAATCTGGGTCCTCATTTTACCCACCTCAGAAGGATGGAAGGCTGAGTCAACCTTGAGCCTGGTGAGATTCAAACGGGCGAATTACAGACTGCTGGCTGTCAGCAGAAGTAGCCTGCAGTACTGCACTCTAACCACTGTGCCACCACGGCTCCTATATCGCTTCACAGTGCTTTACAGCTCTCCCTAAGTGGTTTATAGAGTCAGCATGTTGCCCCCAACAGTCCTCATTTTACTGACCTCGGAAGGTTGGAAGGCTGAGTCAACCTTGAGCCGGTCAGGATCGAACTGCTGGCAGTCGGCCTGCAATTCTGCATTCTAACCACTATACCACCACGGCTCTTGTAATATCTGTGTCAGAATAGAATTGGAAGGGACCTTGGTGGTCTTCTAGTCCAACCCCTGCTCAAGCAGGAGATCCTATACCATTTCAGACAAGTGGCTGTCCAGTCTCTTCTTTAAAACCTCCAATGATGAATGTCTATAGAGATTCTCAGTCCTCCAGGTCATGGTTGTCCCAAAGGGGCTTTTTCAAGAGGCAACTGGACTTTTTGGTTTTTCTTTGAAGATGTTTCCCTTCTCATCCAAGAAGCTTCTTCTCTTCTTCTCTAAAGAGCTGAAGAAGTTTCTTCTTGAATGAGAAGCGAAACATCTTCAAAGAAAAACCAGAAAGTCCAGTTGCCTCTTGAAAAAGCCCCTTTGGCATGACTTCAATGATGAAGCACCTACAACTTGTGAGGAACATCTGGTAGAACTTCTCCTGAGGTTCATGGTTTGCTGAACATAATGTCTCCTTCCATGTTGTTCTCTGATATACCTGGAAGTCAGGCATTTTTATGGGTTGACACCCCTCTGGAATATTGTAAAGTTATGCTACCTTTTACAACACAGGAAAGGTTTTTCTACAGTAGAAGGAAAACTTTGTCTTCAAGTTTCCTAAAGATAGGTATGTCAGAGGTGGTATTCAGCAGGTTCTGACCAGTTCTGGAGAACCGGTAGTGGAAATCTTGAATAGTACAGAAAATCGGTAGCGGAAATTTTAAGTAGTTTGGAGAACAGCAAATACCACCTCTGACTGGCCCAGCCCCCATCTATTCTCCGCCTCCCAAGTCCCAGCTTATTGGCTGGCTCTTCTTTGTTGCCTTGCACAGGAGAATGGAGCTGGAAAGCAGGTTAGTGGGGTGGGGAGGGAATGGAGATTTTATAGTATCCTTCCCATGCCATGCCCACCAAGCCACACCCATAGAACTGGTAGTAAAAAAAAAATTGAATCCCACCACTGAGGTACGTCCTTCTATCCTTCCACCCATGAATGTTTTTTCTTCTTCAAATTTTGTCTGGTACATTCTTCTTTCTTCTTCTTTTTTTATACCAATTATTACAACTGTGAAAATGCAATAAATAAATAACTCCCTGAATCACAGCATTGTGGCAAAATGGTAGTCAGAATTTGCGCTATTGTGGGGGGGAGGTTTGTTTTTAAATGTACATTGACTGATTAGTTTCTACTAAATCGCGGGAAATCATTTGTAAGTGATTACTCTTTTTTGTTCTTTTTTTTCCCCTTCAAATATAGGTCCGTGAAATTTTGAAGCGCACATATAGTTCAAAAGCCAAAAACAGCATGGGTAAGAAAAACCTTGGATCTTAAATAGAGCATTGTGGAAGCCACTTCTCAATTATGTTTGTAAGGTCCCAGAAGTTTCCCAGAGCCACGGAGATGCCAAAGAGTGATACTCGAGACGAGGCTTGCAAAAATAACAGCTTTTTAAAAATTCTTTGGCCAAAGCAAAAAGTCTGGGTGAATCCTGTGTCCAAAACATAGAGACAAAATGCATGTAAGGAATAGCCACACCCTGTGAGAGTGGCTCAGAGTATTATACACATTTTACGCTGATAGAAACTATCCAATCAGAGAGAAAGGATCATTATTAATGTGCCCTCCCCTTCTTTATCCATGGAGCGTTCTTTGTCCATGCTCTGTCCATGCTTTGCTATTTTACACAGTATCCCTTGAATTCCACACATCTTAAAGTTCCCAAGGTTGAGAAACATTGCTTCTCAACAGGGGTGTTGGAAACAGGGGGCCCGTGATGTGGTTGGATCTGGTCCACGGGACCGTCCTGGAAAATGTAAGCGGTCGTCCTGTATCACTTCGGCCCAGTCTACCCAATGTGAAGAGGAAACATCGGGCCAGCATTGCTTCACACCCAGTCTACCCAGTGCAAAGAGGAAACATGCCAGCAGTTTGGGGAGTAGCGTCACGCTGGCCATACCCACCCAGTCAGCCATACCCACCCGGCTCCATGAGGTCAACCACAACCCTGATGCAGCCCTCAATGAAACTGAGTTTTACACCCCTGCTTTATAACATCAACTTGTTATTTAAAAAAAAAACACCATATCTTTAGATCAAGGTATATATATATATTTTTCTCCTGCATTGAAAAGTGTAGCCCTGGAAATTTGATACATTAACCATCGTAAATGCCAGCCTGATTCAGACGTCAGGATGGGGATCTTTGTATAATTTCACTGGCTTTATTTCTTGAATCACTGAAGGGAGGACTTCCATGTTGTAATATCAGCCTGTCTCCTTCTCCAAAGAAGGCTAGCAAAAGGGCTAAGGATGTTTGGCCAATGGAATCATTCCTGGTTTTAGAGGCAGGCAGTCGTAAAACTTGAAAAATAGCCCAAAATGGAATCGTTAGGTATCTTGGAGGATTGAGAACACATTCCTTAAATGACAGTAATGTTGTTTGGATTTTTATGGGCAATATTTGTGGGTTATATTTTAATACCATTCCTTTCGATGAAATGGTAATTTATATATATATATATATATTCTCATAAAAAAGATTCATGTCTTTTAGTATTCAGTGAATATTTGGCATTTGCTTCTGTTTTTAAGTTATGGTGCCTTTTCAATAGCAGCATAACTTCCAATTGCATTCGTAAATCTTATTAAAACGAAGAATAAAGATATCATTATAGGTAAAGAGCATCTTAAATATTTGAAAAAAATCAATCAGCTGAATTTAAGTTTGGATTCTAAAACTCAAATGTTGGCTCAAATTTAAAGTTGCATTTCCAGGGACAAAATCTGATTTCCTGCTACCCCAAAATTATAATTTGGAAAATTAATTTCAGCTCTAAATTTAAGCTGAAAACACACACACACACACACACACACACACACACACAAAAATAATACAAAATAAAACAATACTGATAATATCCTAACTTGTACCCTTTTTTAGGTATTAACACATTAATAGCAAATAATGTTTATGAAGCAGCTTATCCTCTACATGATGTAAGTATACACTTTTAATCCTAATTTTTATAAGGACCAAGTTTAGAATGACAATATCATTGATATTTGTTTCACATTAAATTCAGCATGGTCCCAGATATTATGTTGGGGAACTGTTGTGGTTCACCGGCAGCAGGTGAGGACGGCTGAGGTCTTGGAGAGCAAGGACTCAGATGAGGGGCCTGCTTGTGATGAAGGGATGGGGCCAGGACCACCAGGGAGTGGAGTGCTGCCTTCAGAGATTGTGGAGGCTGGCAGCAGTGATGAAGAGGTCCCTGAGGAGCCTGTGCCCAGTGCGCATGTGCGCAGGGCTGCTTGAAGGAAAGAGCAGCTGCAAAGTAATGCCCCCCCCCTTAGGAGATAAGAGCCAGCTGAGAAATCGGAGTTCTTTGCAGGAAGCAAATAAGTTTTTGCACTCAAGCCTTGTGGAGGTTTGGAGTATCTTGGTTGGTGTTTGGAGACTCTTTGTCTTTGAAATATTTCTTAGTAACTTTATCTAGTGTTCTTGGCAACCTTGCACAACCTTGGCAACGCTCGTTCTTAGCAGAGACAATTAGTTTGAAACAGCCTTTTAACTGGGAAGGAATGGAATTCGTAAAGAATCATTAAAAGGTTTTGCTGTTACCTCCATTTCGTGTTTGTTTCCTTGGAACAAGGTTTGGGTCAGAACAGGAACAAAGAAGAGGGGGTTAACCTATTTTCCAAAGCACCAAAAAGCAAGACAAGAAACAATGGATGGAAACTAACCAAGGAGAGAACCAACTTAGAACTAAGAACATTCCTAATGGTTAGAGCAATCAATCAATAGAATAGCTTGCCTTCAGAAGTTGTGGGTGCTCCATCACTGGAAGCTTCGAAAAAAGAGACTGGACAGTTACTTGTCTGAAATGGTATAGGGAACAGGGGGCTAGATAGGAAGACCTCCAAGGTCCCTTCCAACTCTTTTATTCTATGTTCAGTTTCTCTGGCAAGGCTGACAGGGAGACTAACTATATATCTATATCTATTTATATCTATCTATATCTATATATCCATATCCATATCCATATCCATATCCATATCCATATCCATATCCATATCCATATCTATCTATCTATCTATCTATCTATCTATCTATCTATCTATCTAT